ATAATCAATATTAATTTATAATTAAGATTAGTTAATAATTGAATTTTAATAATAGTAATAATTAACTTTTATTAAGATTCTATGAATAATTAGTATTAATTATTAAATAATTGTAATAAATAACAATTAATATTAAGGAGGTTAGGGGTTCAAATCTCACCAAAGATGAGCAGGATGTGAATTTTTTTTGTTTCTAGTTGACGTATATAAATTTTCTATTCTTCAAAAAAGAACTCCTAAAACCTACTTCAATTCGTTTATTAATAAGCTAGCTTATACTCATTCAAACATGTATCCTAAGCTAGCTTATTTTTCTAAATAATGCCTAAACTGATTTAACTGATGTTTGCTTGAATTTTTCTGATTAATTGTTCATGGTATAATTATTAACAATATACTTTTTGAGGCTGTATACAGGTCTCTATCATACATAAGAATCTTGTGATGTCCAATAAATCAAGGTATATATCTTTATATTTCTACACATTACTTCACTAAGAAGTCACTAAATACCTAAAAAAGTCAAATACCACGTTCTAAATTGCGTATTCACCCATGCATGCCATAAGTTTTAACGTCATGTCATACATGAGCCTTGAGCCACGTCGTGCCACGACGGCTACTGTGTTGGACTTTTAGAGCATTGGTTTCTATTTATTATCGTTCTTAGATTTGATTATTAAAGGTTTTCTTTATCGATGAAAATGTTCTGTGAAACATCAATCGATCTATGTGGTCAATCATCTTTTCAGTACGAAGCCACATTTTTCCAGGTTAATGTTCTATATTGTTTTTCATTAGAATAAATTGAATTGATTTTCATAAATAGTTCTTATATGGAATATGAGAATCCAGTTGATTTGCTTCAGTTTACTGTCAGTCTATCTTTTTGAAATATTTCGGAACTCGATAATTTTTTTGTCACAACAAATATAGTTTTTGAACATTTTTACCATATTTTTATTCAAACATAAATTTTGCAATTACAAGTTGTAAAATCTACAAACCACTAATTAATGCATACGTTGATTTTTAAAAGATAAGAACAACAAATATTTGGAGTTAAAAACACTATTTCAAAATATTTGACCAACGTAACATTTTAACTTCTGAATATATAAATCATCTGAGTTATGATTAGCATCGAAAGGGACGAAGAATAAAACAAAATTTGAAACAATATTATTGTTTCGAGTTGTCGACTTCATAATCGAAATAATTTGCACAACATCACACACAAATACGTTACTAGTTTTTTTTAAATATACAAGATATACGATAATTAAAATATAACATGATAAAAATAAAGGGCAAAATGCACAAAATAATGATCTACTTTCATAATTTTTTTTATTATAGTATTGTACTTTCAGTTTTTCAATAATGTACTTTCAAACTATTTTTTATTAGGACATTGTAATTTAAAAAATTTACCCATTATAGCATTGGGTAACCTTTTGATTTAAATTTACTCATTATACTAGGTTTTCATGTCACCTCATTGTCCACGTAGGTTGTGCACATGTACTATAGTGATGTGACTTTCTTAATACATCATTGTACTTTCAAAATTATTTTATTATAACACCTACTAGTTCTTATTAAACAATGTATTTTTAATTTTAATATTTAGATATTTTACATGTTATTTAATAAATGTATTAAATTAATTAAAAAAATTCTAAAGTATTCATTAATATACCAATATCGATAAAACTAGTAGAACACAACTTATCTCGCTAATATTTCTTTTTAAAATATGTTTTTTTTGAAAAAAAAAAATTGTTCTTTTTTTACCAAAAAATATTATCTTTTAAAGAATATATTATATTTGTTCAAAAACTTTTTACTTGATGTATAAATATATTAAATTAATTAGAATTTTTTGAATTATTTATTAATATAACAATATTAAAAAATTGTAGATAACAATTTATTTCGTTATTGAAAGGAATTCCTTATTGAAAGGAATTCCTAAGAATACATCAATCAAAGTAAATATAATCAATATAAGTATTGGAATAACATAGTATTATCCGATTCATAAGGATACGAAGAAGTCTTGGTATTTCCAAAATGCGGAATAGAAAGAAAGGGTTGGATCATATTTCATACATTCTCATCAATTTTATATACTTTAATTGGAAAAAAAAAGCACGTCCATTCTTCTTCATTTTTTAAAAAGTTACCAAACGAAAGTTTCTGTTACTTATTTTTGAACCTTCTTTACCCCATAGAGATATTGAATAGAAAATGAGTATTCTTTTTTCCACTGTAATTTTGAAAATGAATGTTTAAATGTCCTTCAAAAGTAAGTTAATAGATCTGACACATATAAAATGCAGTGAAGCCCGCCGTAGACCAAGCTATTATTGCAAGAATAGGTGAATACAACCAACTATCACTATAAATTTAAACTTTGGACCCAAAAAAGCAAGGGGTGAAATTCCACAAAGAGAAAGTGTACCTATTAGGAAAAGTTACCTTTTTTACATTCAAAATATATCTCGGAAATAATGTTTCATATTTATTTAATAAATATTTTACTTTAAGAATATTAATTTGAATGTAACTTATTAAGAAAAAGTAAAAAAAATTAAATATTTTTTTATATCATAGCAATGAAAAATAAAAATCACTAATAATAATTTGAAATAAGTTTTTTTATTTTAATTTTAGTTAAGTCATCAAAATGATGTGTCATCCACATTACCTCATTAAAGCCACACAAACAAAAAAAATCAAAAGGTTAACCGGTTTAAAAGGTAACAAGTTATTCATTGCTATTATAAATAGATTTTTTTAAAGTACAATGCCTTAATAAAAAATAGTTTGAAAGTACATTGCTGTAATAAAGAAAAACAAAAGTAAAATGCTATAATAAGATATTTTATAAAAATAAGTTGTTATTTCATGCATTTAACTCAAAAATAAATTATCAAAATAAGTATTAAAATATATAAAAACCCATTCGCCAAAGATTTTGAAATAATTAATTTTTATAATCTTTTTAAAAAATTAATAAATAAAAAATTGTAAAACACATTTATTAAAAACAAAAAAGCATCAAATAACAATGTAACTTTCACCAAAAAAAAAACGATTACAACATTGTATTTTCATTTATCCTCGTTACAACAACGTTTTTAAAATATTTTTTATTACAACATTATAATTTAAAAAAATCTACATGTTATAACAATGTTAGGTTACACACGCCTTTATTCTAAACAGGGTTACAAACCCCTAACATCCTCATAGGAAATTAAAGAGTAATCTACATGTGGTTTTATTGCAAATTGCTAATTTGTCCATATGATTTGCTGAAACAAATAAACCACTGTATCATTTGGGATAGATGACAGGTCAGCACACGCACACAATCTCGACCCAAATTTCAAATGACACATATAGGGTGTGTTCGGTTTGGTTTGGCTTTAGCTAGAATTGCAGCATTCGGTATGTATATAGAAACCAACTTGAAATGTATCATTATGTAGTCGAAGCAGACACTTGGATGAAAGCGGTTTAGTGAAAACAAATGATCCTTCAAACAAGTAAAGCTTAAGAAAGAGGATAGCAACACGTATCACCGCGTATGCCAACCATCAAAACTTTTTAACAGTGGAGCCGAAACCCTAATCTATGTTAGACTCCTACAGCAGCATACATCTCATGCCCACAACTTCACAAAAGCATGAGCAGTTAGATGTCTGAAGAAAATCCCTCATATGATTTCCAGCATCAATCCTGCAACAGAAGATCCACCATTATTCAGACACCATAACTTGCTGCTGTAAAACATTCTAAACAGTGAAGCCAACATAATCTTTTCACTACAGCTGCTTAGTAACATTTCAGTTCTTAGTAATGTACAAATGATACTTTAACTAAAACCATCTTGCAAGAAAGTAGACCGCATGGAGAATAATAAACGGTACACCACCAAACACAGAAGCATGAAGATACCACCCATTAATCTTGCATATTTTGTGGTAGAGGTTAAGCCTGCAAGAGCTGATCAACCCCCAACCCCCAACGATAATTAAAATATAACATGATAAAAATAAAGGGCAAAATGCACAAAATAACAATCTATTTTCATAAATTTCTTTATTATAACATTGTACTTTCAGTTTTTCTTATTACAACAATGTACTTTCAAACTATTTTTNAAAAAAAAAAACCAAAAAGTACCCACCTCCGGGTGAGAATTATAGGGCTCACTTGGTTTGCTGGGGCAATCTTGCATACTTTTTCTTGATAACGGAAATGCACACCCTGTTAGCCTCAAACCCATAAACTATAGGTTCAAGAGATACATTTAACAGCCTTTGGGCCAAAGGCCACTGATTAGTATCCATTAATCTTACATACCAATAACGAGCAAATATCCAACAAAGTTAACAGAAGAGTCTGAAAACTAAAATGGCCGTTACAGACGAGGTTTTCTTGACTTGATTAACAGCTCCCAACTCGCCTAAAGAAGTCCATGTTTGTTTTTGTGTCTGAAAGTTATTTCCTAACATTTCTAATGATAATGACTGTTTTTGCTGACAGAAGCAGAACTTTATAAGGCAAAATACATAAGCTCCTAAATAACTGAAAGGCTCTTGTCTATCACCTAGCTCAAAAAACGACAGACTGCATTTAAAACAATAATCAAAAGCACAAAAAACCTCGACTTGCTCTGGTTTATGTCACCTACATCCATGGAAAGCATGTTATATTGCCTAAGATATAAACTGAAAGTCGTGAGGTACAACAAATTAAATGACCAGGAAACACAGAAAATAAGCACTAATAGCAACTAGATGGTGTACTAATGGCTCACTCATTAAAAATGGCTAAGAGCACAAAGAGATAAATTTTTATGATCTCAGCTGTTGTTAACAGTCCCATTCCTGTAAATATGACAAAATCATATGAAACTGAACACAAGTAGTGAAAAGTTGAACCAGAAAATGAAATCAGAGACTCTCTTGTAAACCTCTATAGCCTGAGGGAGAACAAATACTTCAAAAAATGTATTCTTCATCCCTATCTTTAAAAAGTTTTACAATGCATTCTAAAATTGCCAACAAACCAAATATCAAGCTAAAACGAACATTCAGAAAGATTCCAAACCAAACCAAACAAGCCCACTATATCTCGCTCGAAAGCAGGATCTGGAAGGGGTGGGATGTAGGCAGTCCTGACTTCTACCCTCAAAGGCTGAACATTCACCCACTACCTAACTAGAGGTGTACTTGTTTGAGAGCTTAAAGAAGGGCAATAAAACATCAAACCAATTCCTACATTTACAAGTATATCGATCTTCCAGCAAGACCTTAAAAAACATTGGGTGTGAATGCAATGATTATTCACCTCCTCAGTTCCCCACAAAACAAAATAGACATCAAGTTGTTTTCAGTTCATGCATCTTCTTTTAATGTTCAAATATTTATTAATTATTTCAAAAATGTAGCTTATCGATTACCTATTTTTGGTTCTTATACCTGTCTCATAATAAGTGTGCAACGCTTCACGTGGAAGTGATCAATTATTAGTCAAATACATATAAAATAAAACCTCAATAATGGCGAGAAAAAGGACATCCCTGAACTAAAATGAACATTATCAATATTTGATGATGATTACCATAAAGACGTATTTTGGATTCAAACATTACAGAAAAGGAACATGTTTCATTCATTTTAGCACATCTCAAACAGGGAATTATGACATCCATCTTGGGCTAGAGCAGACCCGAAAACTACAACTGCTTATGCATTTTCTTGTCTGGCATATGGTTACGTTGGGCTGGTCGTCAGCTTACACCCTTTGCAAAATCTTGACAAAAAATGTGGTTTTATATGTTTACTGAGTGTGCATATGATATAAGTGTGTGATTGTATGTGTGTAAGTGCCTTTACCATGACCTATGCTGACTTCACCATACCCCATGCCGATCGGATTTTTCCAATTCTTCTAACAGCAACACAATACACAGCTACAGCCTACAAACGCAGTTGTGTATTTCCAATGCCCCCTAAAAGTGATAACCAAAATTCGAAGAAAGTGTAATATATATCAATTTATTAATTGTAAGTTAGTCCATTTTTACCTATAAGTCAAACCATATGTCCTTTTTTAAGAATAAAGTATATTGTTAGCTTTATACAAACATCGATTAACCAACCACGATGAGCCAACTGAATTAAATAATGATTTAGAAAAAAATGCCGTCTACGAAGGAAACATTTGCAGATAAATTTACTTTAACTTACTTTTTTCCTCAAAGCACTAATCTGAACCCCTTTGATAAAAAGTCATCTCTTTTTCTGTCATTCTTGTCCTCCGTTTTTTCCTTCTTTGTGCCACTTCCAGAAGCGCTACCAATGTTCACCTGAACTAGGCTTCCTGTAAAGGTTTCAGTAACAAATAACCTTGGCATGCCAGGAACCTTTAATCTTTTTACCGTCTTATTCTCGAGATGATACCAGTAAAGTCTCTCAAAGTTCTTTTCCAATAGCACTTCTTCACCACTTCTAGAATACACAATAGGCCTCAAGAAATCTGATTCCTTGATGAGCTTAACATCTGCAGTCGAAATTAACTTGGTCCACGAATCCTTAACTCCATAACTTTTCATGACCCATATGTCAACATGTTTCCTGGGATAATTACAGACCATAGAAAGACATCCACCCAATACACACAAATTGAGTCGGACCATCTCATTTGCAAAATCAGGTTGGGGAAGCAGACACAACTCCTCAGTCGTTAGGTCAAAGGCGGCAATCCGAAAATCAAATTTGGCCTCAGGTTTTAGACTCACTAACCAATGCAAAGCACCCACGGCAAAAGTATTGAAGTTTCTTCGGTAGCAAAGGTAATAGGGGAAATCCCTAACTTCTCTCCATGCATCCGTTTTCGAGCTGAAAACCTCTATTGTCGAATGAACAATATCATTATACAAGCTACAATATTGAACCAATCTCACCACCTTATGGTCATCATTCACATGATCATACCCAAAACCCTTGATGCAAATTCCTCGACCAAGTCCTTCTATACATTTCGCTGGGGCCAACCGTATTTTTTTGAACTTGCGGACCAAAGGATTCCAGAAAGCAATTTCATTATCCGGTTCAGTTGTGCACAAACATACCACGCCGTTGCAAGAACCCAAAATTACAGTTTCGAAAATTGCAAAATACAAAGGGTTATCTATTTTGGTAACAGCTTTACTCGATTCATGCAAGCTAAGATAGCAAAGAGTTCTATCACCACCGAAAAGCAGATTGAGATTAGTGTTGGTTTGAACGGAGTGATTCACATGGAGCTTAATCACGTAGTCACTATCAATTAGGGCACGGAAAGATTTGGAAACAGACCTGAATCGGAGAAGTGAACTTACCGGTAACCATGATAGGATTTGGGCGAGTACATCCGGCGGCATCGGAACATCGGACATGGTTCACAGGTCACTTGTGCTTTTGGTGTGTGGGAGGGAGCTTTTACTCCTTTCACCTTCATCAACGGACCGTCTTTGCAGCACTTTATCAGAACCAATTCCGCAAATTTATTGGTGTAGTGTAAATTGGAACTCAACCCCTAAACTTTAAGAGAATGACATAAATACCCCTTAATGGACATTCACATAAAATATGTTTGGGTTATAACAAGTGATTTTTTATTTTTTCTGATTAACCTGGATATCCAACCCGTTATGCGAGCTGACTAATCTCATGATGATCACCTGCTTTGCAGATAGCCCGGAATCACCGCATTTGAACCTCAGTGGTCACAAGGGGATTTTTATTTCTCTTTGGATTTGAACTTGGGACCTACTGGTACTTTTGACCTTTGGAGCCAAGCTCAAACAAATCAGGCACCACCCTTGTGGTTTAACAAGTGATTTTTCTTATGAGTTATAACATACTAGTTGTATACTCGTGCGTTGCAGCGGTATGTCAAATTTTATTGTAAGCTAAGGAGCTATTTTTCAATGGATCAGAAGCCACCACCATGTACATATGCTTTTCGAGATACGCTTCCTTGTCCACTTGATCGCCATATTACTAACGTCTCCATTGGTACTCCCTTTACCATTCATTACTTGAGATGCGCCACTCTTTTTTTGGCACGCTTCATAAATGGCTCGTGGGACGAAGTATATGCAAAGCATATCAAGAGTTATTTGTTCATGTTATGATGTGGCTAGTGGCTACTATTGCCTTCATATGTTGCTTCTGATCGCCAATAAACAAGAGTCATGACACCATATTTGTACACAAGGCTTAGTTCTTTCATAAATCCTTCGGTCCTAAGTTGTAGCAGTATTTTAAGAACCTAATGGTATAAGAAGGATTGGTAGTAGTCGTATTATTGGTGTTAAGTGTCTTTGAGGGAGCGATGTAAGAACCATCTATGAATTTATGTACATCATAGCCAAGAGGAGTTGCTTCAAGTTGGGTTTTCTAAGAAATGTAGCTTATAGGAGTGAGTTTTAGAATATGAGAGAGATTAATGATGATGAAGGGTTTGGTTGGTTCTATAGTGTTGGGAATTAGAGATATTGATGGTCGAAATTCCAAAACATACAATAAGAAATGATCAAGACATTAACTAATATATGGTGTGATGTCTAAGTAATAACATTTAAATTGGTAATGCTCATTTTGTCCCGAAATACAATGCAATCCTTCGACTTAACACAAAGTTTAACCATCGTGTTGGACTATTGGTTGAATATCTAAAATGCCGAAGCAATCAGTTTTACCTTTTTAAGAGGCAACTTACAAGTTCATGGCTTTTCCACATAATCAAGTGGCTTTAAGATCTCAAAAGAACATAGAGATTTGTCAATACTCAATCAAGCACTTGCGTTATCAAGAAAGAAATACAACATTAAGAGTCATACCAAGAGTGACTCAACATGTGCATAGGCCAAAATAGAAGTGCTAAATCATAAGCCATAATGGCTACTTCTCAGTGCGAATGTGGTACTCTTACGTTGTACCAAATTGATATGTTGATGCCCCCGTTATCATCCCTTCTACACACGACAACATTCAATGATAAAATCTAATAATTTACTTCCTTGTACCCAAATAGAAACATAACTACACAATATCAGGTTAATTCAAAAATTATCCAGATGAGTTGATTTATATATTATACAAAAACATTTGATCAATATATAAATCACAACAAAAATCAAAATGTACATGCATGCATCTAGAATTCTTTCCCATATACACACATGTACATACATACATACATACATACATACATATCATGTATGTATCTATGTAACTATGGTGTATAAGGAGATTAATGAGCTAGTTATATATGGTAAAGATCTTTTTCATCAAAATTAGATAATACAAACTGTCAACCATGAAGGGAACCCTTGTGGTTAAAATATTAACTATAATCTGTTTCACCCATCATCCTCTTGTATTTACAAGCATGGCTTGCATCAAGATCAGAAAAAGCCCAATCATCTCATCATCATCAAATACTTGATCAAGAAACCTAAGGATCAAACTAAGATGACAGGATCGGGTTCTCCCTGTGGGGCTTGCAAGTTCTTGAGAAGGAAATGTGTGAATGGTTGTGTTTTTTCCCTTTATTTTTGCCATGAATAAGGTGTTGTTTGTTAAGTGTAGGTCAATCTGGAAAGTGTAAACTGTATGGAACCTTTTTTAGCTTTCACTTTACAAGACTAAATGAATTTGCAGACACAATTCAGCAGCTCGTGTGGTTTGTAAAATCTTTTTCAGATCATTATAAAAGCTAAGAAAGTAGTATACCAGTATATAGTTCGAATACTCTAATTCTTATTGCAGTTCCACATGGTTTATTTTAGAGACATGGTTTGTCTTAGATAGTTGAGGTGAAAGTTAAATGCATACGCTATATTAGTAAATTACCCTTATGTGTTATGGATGATCATATAAAAAAGACAATTTCTTACTCCTACAGCACCCCGACATGTTTCACTGTGGTGTCACTGTGACCCCCTAAGTGAACCTATTGCGGAATCTAATTAGTTAAAACTATCCATCTAAAATGCAACCTTAGATCTAAAGAAGTGCAACGTCAAAAAGAACAAGATTCCAAACTTAAACTATTAAGAGTTCTACTAACCTAACAAAACTACACAAAAACCATCAAAATAAAACCTGGTCATGCAAGAACACAAGAATATTAAAGAGACCAAAAGGTTCTAAAAATGGTGTTTGGTGTATTTAACAAGCCATCTGTTATGCTTCAAATGATATGTGTTAAATACTTGATATCAGTTACAATATGTTCCATACTCAATCAGAAAACACAAATTCACCTCTAATGAAAAAGGCTCTAAAAATGGTATTTGATCTACTGTTTTAAGTATGACAATATGCAATACATACAATCATATGCAAGAGGAACTTCAAAAAGAGAAATTAGAAGCAACATTGAAAGTTTAAGAACTCACAGAGATAAGGGATGTTACCTATACATATTGTGATGTACAGATTGTGACAGTACACTACCTCTGATTTACTCTTCCACTCTCATCTTCAAAAACCAACCTGTGATACCCCAAAATAAGTTCAATAATTATTTATAAAAATTGAAGCGAAAAGAAAAGGATAAGGCGGGTTTATTTTTATTGGAGCAAAAATGTAAATGAATGAGTTGAGATGGACCAAATCTGTTATTTAGTTAAACTATTAAGGGTTTAAATTCGTTTTGGACCAAAAATGTCAAATATTACGTCAAGAGGAGGCTGAATGTAAATATCAGAAAGTTTAGGGAGCCGAATGTCATCTATTTCAACGATGAGAGGTATGTTTTGCCAACAGTACACCTCTGTTTGGAGATGGCAACCTTGCAACGAAAAATCATGATTTGGGCCCAATTTTTCAATTAATATGCCAAAACTATTGGCATACTAGTATAGAGCACCAGTTGGGATCATTTGTGTTCGAATGGTTTGAAAAATAAGCATACATCAAGAGAGAAATCGGAGTTCGAAGTTCGGAGTCGAAACTCTCGTTTTTTCGTCGATTTCAGGTGAGATTCTCAACCAAACTTTGTGATTTTTATGTCTATAGTTTCATTTTAAAACATCTTTCGAACCCTAGTAGCCTATGTTTTAGATTTGTGTTTTAAGAGTCAATTTTGAAGTTTAAAGTTTTATTTAAAAACCAAAACTTCAAATGAGAAAATGGAACGCATTACTTGTCGAAAAATTGAGTTCTTTATGTCAAAAAAATGTTGGTAAAGAAATGTTACCAAGAGATTGGTGCAAAAAGAACAAAGAAAAAAAGAGGTAAAAACGAGTGAAAATGGAGCTCAAAATGGCCAAAAATATGCTGCCCACAGCTGCTGGGTTTTCGGGTTGCAATCGGGTCAAGAGGATGACCCACATCCGTTTTACCCATTAAAAAGAAAATGAATCGATGGTGATGGAGGGGCTCTAACCATTTGATCTAAATTGTTACTTGTGTTTTCTTTTGTCAGTCGTTTATTTATTAAGTTCTTCTGTCTATTTTTACTTTAAAATAAAAAAAATCTAATGGAGGAGTTATGAGAGTTTAAACCCCATGTCTATGGCTTATGAAATGATTTTGCAAATGAGACTAAGGGGCCATTTACCCAAATGCTTACTCGGTAAGCGTTTGATATGAATCAACACTATCATTTATTTTGATACGTAAGAATTTAGTACATCAAAACATATCGAATGCAACAATTTACTGGGTAAGCGCTTACCTGGGTAAGAGTCACCATCCTCACTGACCGAGTAAGAATCTCCATTTCTTCTCATCGCTCTTACCCAGTAAGACTCTTGGCCCTTCTCATGTTCATCTAATGAGAAAATTTATCCGGTAAGCACTTACCAAGTAAGTGTTTAGTAAACGGCCCCTAAGAGTCATTTCGTTATTAAAACATATAAGATTTTTATTTATCTTATTGTTAGACATTTAAGTTTTAACAATCTATATATCTATATAAAGCAGAAATATGCAACGCTGACATGGCATCACCTCAAAACAGTATTCATGTCTTCCTTTTTCCTTGATTTTCCCCTTTTTCTCTCCTTCTTATAGGTTTTACATTTAATCCAAAGTAAAATCCTATGTCTTCTACTGTTACATTTTTCCTTCTTCTCCATCTCTCAGTCAGAAACTTCTTTCTTCTTCTCCATCTCGACACCATTGATTATTTATTTCTTTGTTCTTCTCCATCTCCCAATCTCAATCTATATATCTATATAAAGTAGAAATATGCGATGCTGACGTGACATCACCTTTACACAGTATTCATGCCTTTTTTTTCCTCAATTTCCCCCTTTTTCTCTCCTTATAGGTTTTACATTTAATCCAAAGTAAAACTCTACGTCTTCTACCGTTACATTTTTCCTTCTTCTCCATCTCTTGATCAGAAACTTCTCTCTTCTTCTCCATCTTGACACCATTGATCCCTTACTTCTTTGTTCTTCTCCATTTCCCGATCTCAACCCGAAATTATTATGGATTCACAGTATAGTTCG